TAGAAGATAGGCGTTGCTGTGGATCTAAAAATGAAGAGTCTCATATCTCCAGACAGATTATGCAAGTCTTTGCATATAGTCACCACTAGTGTTCTGGACAGGATGTTTGTGAACCAAAGCAACAATAAATCAAGTGAGCAAATACAGACTATTTTTTTAGATAAATTACGTAGGTGAGCTAAACTTACTGTTTCATTAAGCATTTGCTCTTTCTCTAGCTTGCTTTCCTTCTTTTCCATTTTCCCTGTAAATAATTTCAGAGTCCACTATTTGGGTGCATGTACTGGATTTAGAAATAGCCCAGAGCCAGGAACTCTCACAGAGATCAGTTTCATTTGGTGTCTCTATGAGTGCTGGGTCAGAAAGCCTCTGTACCGTACCTTCTCCAAGAAGTTATGAAAGTCCAGCAAGTGATTTCCCACATCATCTCCCTCAGTTACAATAGCTAGTAATCAATAGTGGTGTTGTTCCTGTGAAGCCAGGAGTTGCATCCAGACTGGGATATGCCTTTGTTTACATGAGCATTGTGAAATGATACCACAGAGGCCTTCAGTGCCTTTTGGCAGCAGGTAAGATATGGATAAGCAGCTCAGCTCTCAAAGGCTTACTGGTACCATAGTGGTGCCCACTGCATGCCGAGCTCATATGACAGAGGTGTCTAAGGCACACGTCAGTGGGACTTAGCTCTTCACACATACCCAGAAGTATCCCTTCCAGATCTTTTCTTTCTGCAGGTCAGCAGAAATGCCAGTGCACTTGCCATTATCACACAGCATAGCCTGTAGAAACTCAGTCAGACAAAATGCAGAGCCTAACCATCTTCTGTGAGACATTTGGGGAATGCAAGGTGGGTAGCTGCAGAGAGGCAGCAGGATGACTGCTATATGGGAACTGGGCTCTAACAGCTGCGCTGCTGGGTGGGGGGTGGCGGGGGCTGATGTCACCCATCGCTCTCCATGTGAAATGCAGTTTGTGGGTAGCTGTAAGAATAGAGCAATAACAGTTAATTTACAGTAAAACAGCAAAAGCTATTTAGGTTTCATCTCCAAGATGACAGGCAAGATACCATAAATGCTGTTTTAAAAACGAAGGGTTTTACTCGTGTTGCTGATCTGTGGCTGTTTTTCCATCCTCTGTTGTGACCATATTTAACTCTTCAGTGCTCTGACTCTATAGGTTCCCACAGTAGAGCACTAGAGCCGCCACCAAACACGCGCATATGCTTTGTAAATTAATTTCTCTGCAAGCATGATTCAGTAGTTCTGTTTGCACACTCTTCATGCTTGCGATTGATAAGTTCCTGTGCCAATTGCCTTTCTATATCTAGAATTCCTTCAGATTATATACAGTTACAGAATTTTTTATTGCTGCTGTTGCACCGGCTGCAAAATCTGTTTCACATATGCAGACTGCAGGCTATCTGAAACAGAACAAACCAGCGCTTCAGCGATATTGGTTCCATGTGTGGGCAGCGTGAGGGTCCTTTACTCAGATTCCCACTTCCCCAGTGATCCTCCCACCTTTCCCTCCTCAGAGCCTGTTTCCCCTGGAACTGCTGTAACTTACACCTGTGTAACACCACAGATCCTGGCCCCTTGTGGCTGGGCGTGTTAGTTCAGGGATATTTTTCTAAATGGATACTCAATCATTGCAACCTAAAAGAAGTTACTGTGAGATTTTTTTGTTTGCTTCCATTTGCAGTCAGTTCATCAGTTTTCCTGTAAAAGAAGAATGATTCAAACTGACTTTTCTTTTCTTACTTATCCAAAATCTTGCCTTTTCTGTCTTTCCAGGGCTGTGCTGACTGGCAGTCACTTTTAGCTTCAGTGAATAGCACAAAAAGGCTTGATTGCAAATAATTTTTAATTATTTCTCAAACACTCTCTTTTCTTTTTTTCTTTGCCTATCAATGTTATCTGGAAAAATCAGGGACTTCAATTACTCATTCTTTAAAGGAACTAGGATGTGAAGTTTGAAGTATATGAAAGCACGAGGCTGACCATTCAGAAGGAGACTTAGTCACTTTGTAATTTTCTGAAAGCTTTTGGAGACCTTTTCACTGTGGGAAAGGATAATAAGCAGAGCTCAGTGTGTCAGGCGGGTGCACAGAGAAGTGAAGGGCTATGGAGGAAAAAAACTGGAAGTCAGTCTGCTCTGGAGTGCGGCAGTTTGGGGTGGGACTCTTTCCAGCATGCTGATACTCTGGAGTTTTTGAAATGTCCTGGCATCTCTGGGCCTGCCCTCGCCGTGATAATGCAAAAGACCCGCAGCCCGCACCGTGCTGGGAGGAGGCTCTGGCGGCAGGGCAGTCGGTGCTGTACGCTGGGTTTTGTGAACCCCAGGCAGGTATGGCTGCCTTGGCATACATAGAGGGGAAGGAGCCATGGTGCTCAGGCTGAGAATTCGGTTTTGTGTCCCAGATACATAGCCCTGAGCTGACTCTGGCAGAAGCAGTCTTCAGCCATGGTTCCTGTCATATGCAGTAGTTGTATTGTCGGATTAACACAGAACAGAATTCAACTGCAGGGCCCAATTCTGCTCTCTTTTAGGCTAGTGTTTAAGTCTGGAACATCACTGATGAAGCTACTAGGTTTCCACCCCTTTGAATTAGAGGAGAAATCAATAATTTTAAAAGCTGAAAGAAGTTGTAGCAAAAATAAAGGGACCTGAATGCCTTTGAAGAAATCTTATTCATAGCCTTGAGACATCCGGGTAGCACATCTGTATTATTTTATGACGCTGTCTTTTAGTCTTTTTATTTTCAGTATAGTTTTGTTCTCTTTAAATGCCCAAATAATTTCCAGTAAGAGCTAATAGATTCAGGAGGAGGAAGAAACACGTACTGCATGAAATCATTGTGCTGAAACCACCTATTGCTTGCAAAGCTGTTTGAATGAATCATATGGTTCTTTTATTCCTTCTGTGTTCTTTCCCTCTTCGCTTTTCCCTACTAGCATCTTTTAGAGAAGGAAAAGGTAACCTGCAGGGAAAGGACTTGTGACCATGAGGACAATGCTATTTTGAAAGCCAAGTTTTTTTTGTGACAGAGACACATTCTCTGATGCTACTTCAACCTAGTGATCACATTTCTATAGTCATTTGCTAATATGCATCTTTGTGTGTATATTTTATGGCTGTACACAGTGTAGGAACATTTGGCTTCAAAAATTCCTTGGAGAAGAAAAGGTGCATGTTCAAGACTGAGTGTCTCAAATAGATACATTTAAATTTGCTTTTGTTTTCTACTGTTGCTTTCCAGTGATGGGAACCACTGCGCAAAGATTGATATAAACAAATAAGTTAAAATTAAAACCTTGTGTAAAATACATTAGACCTTGAACTTGCAAAAGATAGATGGTGAAAAGTGGCATTAAGGGGTAAAATGACAGGCGAGGTCCTGTGGCCCATGACAAAGAGATGAATTATACTCGGGTCTCCTGAGTGCTGATCTTTTGCACAGCTCAGAGGACTGTGCCTCCTTAAATTCAGTTTCACTAAGAATATTCAAACTTCATCTACAGAGATAATGAAATCCAGCCCAACATAGGCACTGGTGCACAAATGCACTTAGGATCATGTGCAACTTTGAACAAGCAGTTCATTTCATTAAAGCCAGTGGGGTTACTCAGTCTTGAACTTATGCACATGTATATATAGGTTCTGTGCTACCCTAGAGCTGGATTTTCTCTGTTGAATTATGTGATGTAAATTGGAATCTTTGATTCAGTATCCAGCACGTTCAGAATTTAATTAAAGAAAATCGATTTCCTTTCACTCCTGGAGGCTCTTTTTCATAGAGGTACCCCTCAAAATAAAGCAAGATTAATTCCTTCTGCATTGAAAGTAACATTTTTAAGAATTTTAAGAATTTTTAGGCCCCAAATCATTCCTTCATTTAGAAAGAAATGGAATTCTATAGAATGCTATATTTCTTGTAGAAATTGAAAGGGAGGAATTTTCCTGTTACATGTATTTTTATTCTGTTTGTTACGGCGAACAGCGCAATAAATCAGCTTTGTCTCTGAGCTGCAAAAGCTGGTAAACATGAAAAGGACAATAGAAAATCACAAAATTAATTTAGTTTTTAGACATTTAAATTCATTCCTTATACGGTGAGCAAATAATAAACAACAATCTGATAATACATTTTCATATTTCAGTCTCTCTTCAAAGAGTAAAAAAATACTTCAGAAGGATAAGATGACCTGAAGCATTCTACATTTCCAAAATTAACTATGAAAGGCAGATTATCTGGGCATGTCTGAAAGCTACGCGTAACCTTTGCGCTACAAATATCTCATTTCAAAAATGTCATATTCTGCTTATTCAGTAGGGCTTCTGTAAGGCTATTTCAAGCACTGTGCTTCTTGCTTCTAGATGAGAACTGCAGTTATTACAGCCTGCATGTTTTGTTTCACTTGCAGTTTATTAGAGGAAGATAATACCTTGGCAGTGGGATGCTATTAAACATGGAGGTTTCCTGCCCAAGCAGTGTAAACTCCATGAAGTTCTGTTTTGTTTGCAAGGATCGTCGTGCCTCCAGGTTATCAACTGTGGTAGTTTGGGTGGCTCTGATGCAAAAAAGGAGCTGCTAGCGTAGCACCCCGAGCTGCCGCAGCCTCTGCAGCCAGGACAGCTCCTGCGAGGGCAGGGGACCACGCGGCGGTTGCTGAGCTCCCTCCTCTGACCGCCTCCAGTTTGCTCGAGCTCCTCGCAGACCTGCAGGTCTCCTGAGTTTGTGTGTGTCTGCAATAGAAGCACTCACAAGAGCTTTGTGGTGCACTTTGACATGGCTGTTCAAGGGGACTTGCACCTGGCAGAGAGGGAAATAGTCCTCACTTTTGTTTATTCCGTTTAGCTTTGGATCGAGCCCCCTGTGCTCTGACGTACAAGTGGCAGAGTCTCCAGGCAAGTTCCTGGCGACAGTTGCACCAAGGACATAGTAATCCATGTTGAAAAGCACTTAATTACTCCATGTTTAGAGCAGACAACGCGGCACTATGCGTATCACCAAGATGTCAGCATGGTTTGCTTTTCATAGGAGTTTATGTTCCCAGCAGGCACCGAATGCTTTTTCTGCCTGATAAATGTCAAGTACTTAAAGCAGACTTGCCCATTCCTCTCTGGAGATTGCCAAATAATCTCCTTTCATTGGCTATGGGATCTTGCCAGGGCTTCTGCGTTCATGCACATTTATCCCTGCCAAATGTTGGTAACACAGGAACTGTACAAATACTCCCTGCTCCTTTAATTGGCTTTGCACAGCCCTGTTCAGTTGCAGAATTCCTGGTTTTTTTCTTTGTTATTCTGGGCTGGAACAGTAGTTCATGATCCATATTTCATTATCGGGTGTGCCATAGAGTTCAGCCCTTGCTGTGGAGCTGTGTTTCAGAGTAGAAACCTTTGTTAAATAAACAGAGTAAGCATCTTGCATCATGGACTTCTTAAATTTAATTCAGTTCATCTCCTGAATGCCCCACTGCAACTGAGGGGAGTTCCCAGTAGGTGCTGAGCAGTTCCTCTGTTCCCAGTCCCAATAAAAAGGTTCCCTTGCTATTTATCTTACCCATTTACCTGTGTATTTTCTCTGGGAAGTCTTATAGCACCAGATGTTCCTACTCTGTGCAGCATATAGGAGGTACTGCTATACCTTCATAAGGTCTATAAAATATTTAAAGCATTTAGTGTAAAATTTTAGTTTGAAAAAATCCAGTTCATCAAGGAGGGAAAAAGATCTCAGTAACTTACCACCTCCTGGAAATAGATGCTTTAACAAAATAAACTGTGGCAGAGGAAAAAATGCTTTTAATAGGAAAAGGAAAGTAAATCTTTCACCTTGTCATGTTTTACCCTGTGTATCATGGAGCAGGACTGGGGCATTTGACCTTTTTGTTGATAATGTCACAGGTGTTTTAGGCTAATGCTACATATCATGCAATAGCAGATGAGAATGCTGTGTGTGTCACTGCGGCACTTCATTTCAACCGATGCAAAAATACTTTACAAGACTAGATGGCAGAATGTCAATCATTTTTCCATGACATTTCTCATTTTCTTGTCTGTAATGTAATAATGTGTGAATGCTCTATATGCAAAGCCCAACACCTAAGGACAGGTCTAGACCCCATGTCAGAACCTCATCAGCTGGATAAAAACTGTGAAAATGGAAGGAGGGAAGAGGCAAAATATGCTGTTTCTAGCAATTTGCTTGACCACTTTTGGCTATATGACCTCCAGCACAAGAGCAGCTTTTGACTACTTTGTCTGTCATTAACATCCCTGCAGATGAAGAGGTGGAAGACTGGGGCTATGGCTGAGGCAGAGCACGTTCTCAGTGTGACACCCATGGCACAGGAGGTGTACAAGACAGCATAGGGAATGGGGGTCTGAACAAGGCAGAGGAGCTAGAAACCTTTGTATCTCAGGTATCCGTTAAGGATGGTAGCATGATGCACAGGGAACTGAAGACTGGGAGAAGCATCTGTGTACAAAATTCACAATTTTCAAATGCAACAAAGGCTGTAATCCTTTAGCTGGTCTAATGTAGAGTTCAGATCCTGGGCAAAACATTCAGAAATGATCAGGCAGTTTGTACCAGTCTCATTGACTGACTCTTCATTTTAATGACACTGAGCTAAAGAAGATTCCTTTTGCCAGGGTTGTACATCAGATTATCAGAGGTGTCGAGAGAGGATTGAGATCAAGTTTATGTCAGTAGAATGTATATGAACGTAACATACAATTAACAGACTAAACAGAAAGGAAATGGTGATTTATCTGGAAGCATGGCAAGAAAAATCTGCTTATTCTGTTAAATACATCGTGAATAATATTTTCTGAAAAACCCACATGATTCTCACAGTCTACATCTCATTCCCAAAAGTCTATCCTAATACATTCAAGAAAATTAATTTGGGTTAATTAAAAAGACAAAATTAAAGTGCATTAGGATATATCCACTTAGTGAAAACCTATAAAGCTACCAAATACTCCTATCTGTGGAAGCTTTTGCATGTCCCTAGCCTGTCACTAAGTGGAACACATTAATTGGAACCATCATGAAAGCATGATATCATTTTTTGAGTAGTTGGTTTTTTTTAATTCTGACAAGATTTACTTTAGTTATAAGTTATGCTTAAACAGATGCCGTCAGCAAAGAGTGTTCTTATTACTTAATATATATGCACACACATATAGTCACATCTCCTTATTCCTAAACAAAACTGGAACCTTGTTTAACATCTGCTTTTGTTGCTATGCCTTGTAAGAAATGAAGAGAGGTTATTTAGCAGATCAAAGCAGAAATGTGACAAAGTGATAACACTATGTCTGAATCCTCCTCTGACAGTGACCAGATCACGTTAGTAAGGTGTTGTAGTGCAGGTGTCTTCCAGACCTGAGCCAGCGTCCTCGCAGACTGTCACAATACTGTCCTTCAGCTGCCAGAACAGTGCCTGGCTGCTGGCTTCAGTAATATGTTTGAGGCTGTTTCTGAAAGAGGGTTTTTAACTCCAACCACTGCCTGTTTGGTTTAACATTAGAAATTTGCTGTTTTCTGATGGCTCAGCAGAAGGTGTCTGGAAATTTCTCCGAGTGCTGAGTTCGCAGGGGTAGGTCTGTGACAGGGAATTGCAAGGAGCAGCACAGTTTGGTAAGGCAGGAAAGCTGCCATTCTAAACTGGCCTGTAGTTTAGGATTTTTTTTAAATTGGGAAATTTATCAATGAGGTATCAATGCTTTCAGTGCAAGAACGATTTACTCTATAGGAAGATAAATTATATTTAGTATATGTGGTAAATTTTCTTTCTGAATAAGTTTGTTGAGTCTGCTTAGGATAAAAACTGACTTCACCCAGACATTTAATGAGGCATTTTATTAACCTCAACATTTAATGAGACGTTTTATTAACTATTTATGCAAAGTGAACAAAATGCAATTTCCATGAGTTTCTTTATTGTTTAATTCATAAAGGATAATTTCTAAGAAACCTTTGACCAGTCATTTCAAACAAATTTCAGCACAGTGTTTCAATTTATAATTTCAAAGACAAAAAGGTCTATTGTTTCTAGAAATAACCTGTTTGGGAAGGTTCTGAATCTCTGAGATGCTTTGTTCTCCCTTGACTTCACTGAAGCCTCATTAATTCATAGGATAGATCCAGATAAATTATTAGGATTATCCCAACAGCTAATTTTACAGTATTTGTATGTGAGTGTTTTCTTTCACAGTCACTGCTGAGAGAATTGTTGTGCTTCATGCAAGAAGTTACTATAAATAAAAAGCTCTTGATTCATCACTATGTCACTGCAGAGTTACGTCACTGTCATTCCAGTATGAACATCCAGGATCTTAACTGTTCTCTTGCAGCCATAAGGAGTTCATTTGGATACTTAGTTTTATGTCTTTGGCAGCTCTTTGGGTCTTTAAAATCCCACAGTGATATTTGAAAAGCATAATATTTAAAAATTGAAAGTCCTCTGTCCAAAGGATTCGGGAGAGAGCAGAAGTCTCAGAGGAAGGGAAGTGCTCACTAGCTACTTAATACGGGAGTGTCAGAGCGTTCTGGGGAAAATTAGGAGTGTTTTGAACAGGGTGTTGTTTTAATAGCATTCTACTGATGCAATACCAGAGAAGACCAGCAACGAGCTGGTCGCAGAAAATCCATTCCAAAATTATGACACTGTAACAGAGATCCTATGGTTGACAAAGTGTGTTACAGATTTCTCATGAATTTATATTTTGTTCTGTTTTCAGTGTCAGCCAAACCAAGACCTCACAGTGATGAATACACAAAGAAGATTCCACCTCCTAAACCGAAACGAAATCCAAACACTCAGCTAAGCACATCTTTTGATGAAACGTATATCAAAAAGCATGGCCCTATGAAGACAACGCTCACTAGGGATGCCTCTTTATCGCAGGTCAGCAGTCCTGCCCCAGACACAGAGGAAGAAGAGCCTGTTTATATTGAAATGGTTGGGAATATTCTCAGAGACTTCAAAAAAGATGAGGATGACCAAAGCGAAGCAGTCTATGAGGAGATGAAATACCCTATATTTGATGATGTAGGCCAAGATTCAAAATGTCAATGTGAATATGACCATCACACTTGTTCTTCTCAGTGTGCTACTCCCACAGTGCCTGACCTAGATTTCACCAAGTCTTCAGTGCCATCTACTCCCAAGGGCTTGCTTTGTGATATACCCCCGCCATTTCCAAATCTGCTTTCTCACAGACCTCCACTGCTGGTGTTCCCACCAGCACCAGTGCAGTGTTCCCCGAATTCTGACGAGTCTCCTCTAACTCCATTAGAGGTCACAAAGCTTCCCGTTTTAGAAAATGTGTCTTACATCAAACAACAAGCTGGAGCTTCTCCATCTTCACTGCCACCTCATACACCAGGCCATCAAAAACTGGAGAAAGACCACACAGTATCTCATGGAACTAGCACTCCTGGGCACACGTCCTCACCTCCTCATCCCTCTACCTTATACAGAACACAGTCTCCACATGGTTATCCTAAAAGTCACTCTGCCTCACCTTCTCCTGTAAGTATGGGTAGGTCTCTTACCCCCTTAAGCCTCAAAAGACCTCCACCTTATGACTCTGTACATTCAGGAAGTCTCTCAAGAAGCTCTCCATCAGTGCCTCATTCTACGACCAGAAACACATTGCAAGAAGGAGGAAAGATGGTAAATGCCTCGGTCAGTACCTACGGGTCATCATCTCAGAGTAGTTCCCGTTCTCGGACACCCACCAGTCCTCTGGAGGAACTAACTAGCCTCTTTACCTCAGGACGAAGTCTCCTGAGGAAGTCCTCCAGTGGCAGAAGATCTAAGGAACCTGCAGAAAGTAAGTTCTTGATAGAGTTTTTCCTCATTCTTCCTTGTGTAATTATATATTTCACTTTAACTAAATCAAATAATTGCAATAATCAAATACTTCAGAAGTCCAAATTCCTTGTATAAATTCCTCATAACAGGAAGAAAAGTGATTATTGTTAAAATTGCTTTAGTTTTCATATTGTTACATTTTTAAGATTTTTTAAAGTATGCATACTTCTCTACAGAAGTACAATTCATGGTTTGGTCTTGCAAAAGGAGTCAGTTTTTGTCAGCTTTTCCACAGTTGTAAGGGTCGCATGTGAGCTGGAATCTTCCCACCATGTCACATCCTTCCTTTCTTGATGGATGCAAAGACACGGTAGTTGTCCAAGCAGAAGGTAGCAAAATAATCAGACAGTAGTTGGGTTTTGGCAAAGCTCTCTTTGGAGAACAGCTGATCTTATGTTTGTGTAAGTGTTATATTTGGCATCTGTATTAAATGCCATGCGATGAACTATGCTGGTTTATACCTGATGAAGGAAGGTGTTCTGGTTTCCAGGCTACCACATTGCTACAGCAGAGAGGCACATTCTGCCCTGCCTTTCTGGTTGTGCTTGTGCTGCTCTGTTACGTTACTCATCGCAGTGTGGTCACGTCACTTTGGGGCACGCTCAGGAGGCTCAGAAGAACACCCCCTCTGGGTGTTCATGGGCAGAGGTTGCCTTGCACCTCTGCAGCTGAGTACGTGCAAACACGTAAGGATGGAGAAGCTTGGTGGCAATGGTTTGGGCTGGCATGCAAAGCATTCCTCCTGTTCATGGACTCCCCTGCCTCAACCTCAGCAGTTTTATTCTTATCTATCTCTGTTCAAATCAGGAATACTGACTCTGAAATCAGAAGGTGGAGGGGAGAATGGAGTTAGCAGGATACTGAGAATCCAAGTTGGTGCAGCAGTCTGCTTAATTTGGCTTTAATATTTTTGTGGCCTGCAATCATAAAGCCTGAGCTCCATGACTCAGGTTTCACTAAGTGATTACAGTAATAAAAATACAGTAACACCAGCTTTGTGTGCTGGATGGAAGCAAATCTGTACCTAAAAGGCACGACAGTTCTTGCAATTGGAAACAATTATGAGGGATGTGATGTGACATAAATAATTGCACTGAAGTGGCAGGGACATTTTGTCAAAGTACAGCCAATATTGAACATAAACATGCTTCTTATTCATAAGAGAGCAGAAATCCCCTGTAAACCCCAGGCTACACCAGATCTACCAGGTGATCTTCAGAAGTTGGACAGTTCTATGCTCACCGATGTACGCAGAAGTGCCAGCTTTGAAACCTATGGAAATTCCTTCTGTGAATGTGGCAAGTCCTGGGAAGCTTCAGCAAATCTCTGCTTTTGTCTCATACCTACTTCCAGAAAGATATTCTCTATATTCCACTTGACTGAAATTGAATGCAGACCTTTCAAGAGACTTTTCACTGATAAATTTAAAATAAATCTTGCCCTGCAGATCTGTACCAAGAACAGGTTTCTTCTTGGCCTCTCAAGGGGCATTCTACTTGCTCCCTAGGAAGTAGAAATGTGTTCTGTATTGGTCACAAATGGTAAAACAAGAAATATGAAATATAAACTGTGTTCATTTACTTTAAGGACAAACCATTCATGTTATAAATAGACACCAGTGGTGAAAAGACTCTGGAGTACAGCTGTGTTGAGTAAATGAACAGACTGCCCATCTAATCTGATTGTAATTTTTCTGGTATTTACAGTATGACTTAATCCTGTGGGATTACTGCACTGAGCAAGAACCAGGTTTGTGCTCAGATATTACAAAGGTAGAAGACACTCTGAGTTTTATAGAAAACACTTACAGGTCTAGCATTTTATGTCTTGCAATTCTACGTTAAAATTGTCCACCATAGAGTCTAAATAGTGGGATTAGAATCTGACCAGACTGTATAGTGATAGATAGTGTAGACTGGACTAAGCATATGATCTGTTAAAGAAATCTTGCTTCTGCAAATCACACTGGAATCCTAAGGCACTTATACAGTTATAAATTACTGTTTTTTAAGCTATGGGAGAGCAAATGTGTAGCATAGGACTAGCTGGGACTGCCGTGGTTTTCTAGTTGTCACTTAACTGTAATTTGCTCTCAGCATACAGAAGAATTTCCAGACTCTAGAGGATAATACACACACACACAAAAGGAGTTATGGCTCTTATGAAATCATGCTAGGAAACTAAAATATTTGCTTCTAAAATCTAAAATTATTCTGGGCACATCTCAAGCAACTTTCTTATTGATTCCTCCAAGACTCAGACCTCAGTGACTTGTCTGAAGCTCTCACTGCCAGATGCTAGTAAAAAAAAAAAAAAAAAGGCATAATTCTGAATTTTATATTCAACTGAAGGTATTTGGAAAATATTGCAGCAGTTATGGAGAAAATTCTCTCTCATCTTTGTTGTTATTACTGCAACTGACTTTGTGGAAATTTGGCATCTGAGTCCAAACTCTGAATGTACTCACTAGCTTTTAATTTGTGGCAGTTTCGAGTGGGTTTCTTTTTGAGGAGGGGGACTGCACAAACCTTATCTCCAGTCAAACAGCTTCAATACACAAGCAAAGCTGCCCCTGTATGTAGCCTTTCTGTATTATTTTCTTTGCTCTTCTTCCATTTTTCCTTTTTTATCGCCCTCCATTTTATTCCTCTAGAGTTCACTAGAATTGCTTTAGTGGGAAAATTGGGGTAAATCAGTGATACTAAGGAGACTGCCACCTCAGGGCCACATTTTCTGAGGATATGAGCTTCCACTGAAGCCCCAGCCATGTTGCTGAATGCAGTCAGCATCTGCCGGCTGCAGTTGTGATGTGTCTATCTGGATTTGGTAAGCAGCTCACTTATTGTGCTGTGTTGTTGTAAAAATCCTCTTCTGTGCTGTTAGCATCTTAAATGCGCATTATGGCACAGTTATGAAGGTGAGGAGAAAAGAACAAAGAAAAATAAATTGTAAGGCCAAATCAGAAATTTAAAAAATGGTGGAAGATGATCACAAAGAAAGGCAGAAAGGTGGAGAGAACCCCTATGGAAAACTGAAGAAAGATGTAGAGCATGAATAATGTGAAAGAATGGGAAAGATAAACATTATTAATTGCCAGTGACTGTTCTTTAACCCTTCCTGCTTTTGTGTGGGGTAACATGGTAGCATGCCCTACCAGTTGGCAGACCCCTGTGAAAGATAACGTCAGTCTTGGAGGTGAGGGGAAAGCCATTTACAGGGTACCAACACTGCCTGGTGTCCTTGGGCTGCTGCAGTGTGTCCTTTTCTTCTGCAGTTGGAAGGTGTTGAAGTATGACTGCTCAATCCAGCTGTGTTGAAGGACATTTTCCTGTTACTTTTAGGATATGCACTGACTGGGTTACCCATGTCCTTCAGTAATGAGGGAATTACGGAGTGAGAGAATAGTCTTCAGATTTTCTGGAACTGTACGTGCTGTCTCTGTCTTTTCTGTACCATGGAAACATGCTGTACTCTGTGAAATTACAGAACTGAAGTCAGGTGCCTGTAGGCATACCCACACCCTAAAAAAGCAAAACAGAAAAGCTGCTGGTGCACATCTGATCTGCACTCATTTCAAAGCAGCGCGTTTTTTCTAGGTGAAACGGTCCTGTAAACCCTTGGCAGGACCACCCCTTTCTGTTGGTGTATTGATTGTTTCCATTTGTTAAGGCTTCCCTTTCCTCCTAACATCCCAGGAACTTCGTGCCTGTTTTGAGCAAGTGTTGCAAATGTTCATCCCAATGCATTGAACAATCTAATAGTTACCTCTGCTGCGTGCCCCTGGCTCTGTGCACAAGGTGTGAGATCAGGACACGCAAGGCACAGCAAGCCCATGGCTCCTTTCCTTAGCTGCGCTGCAGGGCTTTGGAGCTGCTTTGGCTTTTGCTTGCGGAGAGTTTTACTCTTCAGCTTCTAGTCACATACAGGGAGGAAATTTGTGAATGTGTTACTTTGAAAATTCAATTAAAGTGATTGAAAACGGATAATTATTAACATTTCCTGTTATTGGCTGGTACCTGCTGCATTAGGAATCTAAAACATTTTATTATAAGCTGTCAAATAGTGTGTGGAAGGGAGGGGAGGGGTGCCGAAGTGGCTCAACTTGTTAAAAAGGGGCTCATGCTGATTTCAGGGAGCTGAGACGCTCCCATGAAGAAACTGTGAAGTCAGAGTGGAAATGTTTACTTTTTTTTTTCTTTTTTTTTTTTTCTTTTTAGTGCTGGTGCTTTCCAGGGAGCTAGAAAGCAGCTTTGGGTTCCTGTTAGATAGAACAGTATGTTGGAAAAGAGAGTTTGGGAAATGAGTCAAGTGAAAGTTGCTAGAGATGTGCTCAGAATAATTTTACATTTTAGAAGCAAATATTCTTGGTTTCCTAGCATGGTTTCATAAGACCCACATGGGTTTGTCTGGTTGTTTAACCTCCCCCTCTATGCATGAAATGCAGAATGAGGGACATAGACAGGGCGGGATTTCAGTTTATGTATTTTTCTGTCAAATACGTGTCTCTCCAATTTAGAGACAAGGATGTCATGCAGGACAGTGTCAAATGCTTTGCAAAAGTCCAGGTAGATGATGTCAGTTGCTCTTTCCTCATCTACCAATGCTGTAACCCCATTGTAGAAGGCCACCAAATTTGTCAGGCACTATTTGCCCTTAGTGAATCCATGCTGGCTGTCACCAGTCACCTCCTTATATTCTGTGTGCCTTAGCGTAGTTTTGAGGAGGATCTGCTCCATCACCTTGCCAGGTACAGAGGTGAGACTGACCAGCCTGTGGTTCCTTCGGTCTTCCTTATTTCCTTTTTTAGAAATGGGGGTTATTTTTCCCCTTTTCTAGACAGAAAGCAAAGGTACAAAGAAGAAAAATGTGAAAGGATGCTCAGTGGCAGCTTGCACATGCCTGGATGCTAATTCCCTGCCGTAGCTGCACCATCACTGCCCTGTTTTGCACTGTGTGCCA